AACACCAGAAATCAAAGAAAATGATAATAATAATAATAGTAATAATAGCCTATAGGAATTTTTTTAGTAGAAATTATCTCAAAGCCCAAACAAAATATTCCACATTCGATATATGAGGATTTTTCAGACGGGCCTTTACCGCGACCCACAGCAAAAACACCATTTTGAATTGCGACCCACACCAAGAACACCATTTTGAATTGCGACTCACAGCAAGAACACCATTTTGAATTGCGACACACACAAGGACACCATTTTGAATTGCGACTCACAGCAAGAACACCATTTTGAATTGCAATCCACAGCAAGAACACCATTTTGAATTGTGACCCACAGCAAAAACACCATTTTGAATTGTGACCCACAGCAAAAACACCATTTTGAATTGCGACCCACAGCAAGAACACCATTTTGAATTGCGACACACACCAAGAACACCATTTTGAATTGTGACTCACAGCAAGAACACCATTTTGAATTGCAATCCACAGCAAGAACACCATTTTGAATTGCGACTCACAGCAAAAACACCATTTTGAATTGTGACCCACGGCAAAAACACCATTTTGAATTGTGACCCACGGCAAAAACACCATTTTGAATTGTGACCCACAGCAAAAACACCATTTTGAATTGCGACCCACAGCAAGAACACCATTTTCAATTGCGATCCATTGGACCTTCATGTAATAAATCAAAGACAAACTCTTATTTAGAATCGACAATTTATATTTCTAATGATCTACACATATTGGAATTGTATGTATCTATTTGTATTATCGTTTTGGATGAATATAAAATTATTATTTTTAGAAAAACAAATTTAAAGGAAATTCCGACACAAAGGTAAAATAAATATTTGAAAGAAATCTCATTTAATGAGATGGTGTGCTTGTTTTGTTCATAAGCATCTGATTCCAATTGGAAATAAAGCAAGATAATGCTACATTCATATCAGGTGAGCCTTTTTCTGTCCTTCATCTTAAATTGAGTTAAGGTGGAAAATGGCCGTTCACACAAATAAGTAAGTGTAAAAGGCTGTAGTAATAAAAATAACATTTTTACTCAATAGTGAAAATTCCCCTTTGTTAATATTTCAATAATTTTGCAATCGTATTGCATAGATCAGCATTTTTCAGACGTTTTTGCTTTGTTTTTTTTGTTTTTGTTTTTCACTGTGACCCCTAGGAAGTACAACATTTTGAATTACGACCCATTGGACCTTCGTGCAATAAATCAAAGACAAACTCTGTCCAATAGCTTCATTTATTTAACATCGACAATTTATATTTCTAATGATCTGCACATATTGGAATTGCATGTATTTATTTGTATTATCTATTTGGATGAATATAAAATTATTACTTTTAGAAAAACAAATTCAAAAGAAATTCTTACACAAAGTAAAGTAAATAATATTTGAAAAAATCTCATTTAATGGGACGATGTGATTGTTTTGTTCATAAGCATCTGATTCCAATTGGAAACAAAGCAAGACAATGCTACATTCATATCAAGTGCAGTATTGAACCTGTTCCTGTCCTTCGTCTTAAATTGAGTTAAGGCTGAAAATGCCAGTTCACTCAAATAAGTAGTTGTAAAAGGAAATAATAATAATAAAATCATTTTCATCAATAGTGCAAATTCCCCTGACACAAAACTCTGCTCCTGCCAAAATCTTTTGCTCTGTTTGCCTCTCTACACGTCTTGGGCAGGGGGGGGGCAGTCGAAGAAATAGATTATCCACATATCTTTCAAAACTTTAACGAGAAAGTTAAGTTGTGTCAGGTGTCGGTTGTAGAAAATGTAAAATATAGGAAGCTGCAAAAGTCCATTAACAACGCCGTTGCTTAGTAAATTATAATGGTTATCATATTTTCTCTGTCCTATTTCAACTTTTTTTTTATCGTGACCCACAGCAAGAACACCATTTTGAATTGAGACCATTATTCTTAGGTGTATTAAATCAAAGACAAACTCTGTTCAATAGCTTCATTTATTTAGCATCGATAATTTATATATATATATATATATATATATATATATATTTCTTATGATCCGCCCATATTGAATTGTATGTATCTATTTGTATTATCTCTTTGGATGAATATAAAATTATTACTTTTAAAAAAAGAAATTTTTTTAAAAATTCTTACACAAAGGTAAAGTAAATAATATTTGAAAAACTGTCATTTAATGAGATGATGTGATTGTTTTGTTCATAAGCATCTGATTCCAATTGCAAACACAGCCAGATAATGCTACATTCATATCAGGTGAGCCTGTTTCTGTCCTTCGTCTAAAATTGAGTTATGGTAGAAAATACTCGTTCACTCAAATAAGTAGATGTAAAAGGCAGTAGTAATAAAATAAGGTTTTTTACTCAGAGGAAATTCCCCTTTGTTAATATTTCAATAATTTTGCATTCCTATTGCATAAATCAGCGTTTTTTAAAAAAAATTTTCTATGACCCCTAGCAAGAACCCCATTTTGCATTGCGACCCATTGGACCTTTGTGTAATAAATCAAAGACCACTCTGTTGGCTAGGTTCATTTATTTAGCATCGACAATTTATATATATATATATATATATATATATATATATATATATATATATATATATATATATATATATATATATATATATATATTATGATCCACACTTATTTCTTATGACCCGCCCATAGTGGAATTGTATGTATCCATTTCTATTATCTCTTTGGATGAATATAAAATTATTAGTTTTAGAAAAACAAATTTAAAGGAAATTCCGACACAAAGGTAAAATAAATAATATTTGAAAAAAATCACATTTAATGAGATGATGTGATTCTTTTTTTCATAAGCATCTGATTCCAATTGCAAACACAGCCAGATAATGCTACATTCATATCAGGTGAGCCTGTTTCTGTCCTTCGTCTAAAATTGAGTTATGGTGGAAAATGCCCGTTCACTCAAATACGAAATTGTAAAAGGCAGTAGTAATAAAATAGCCTTTTTACTCAATAGAGTAAATTTTTTTGTTCTAAAGCCAAAACTAGATACATAAACTCAATGAGAACAGTCTATATATATATATATATATATATATATATATATATATATATATATATATTAAAAAAATAATATATATATATATATTTAAAAAAATAAAATCTAATACTAGCTTACTCGGTGAAAAACTAGCTATGATTTAAGAATGCTGTGCAACATTTAGATTTGTTTATATTCTAGACTTTGCACACACATGTATTCTTTTTTTTCTTTCTTTTGTGACCCATTTTATTTATCTCCCGACCCACTGAAGGATTGGGACCCACAGTTTGAATAGACCCTGAAATTGATCATGTGATTGTCTATTTGGTTGGCATTTTTAAGCAACTGAATAAATTTCATCTTCAAATGCAAGGAAAGGAATGCAAAAATAAACAAAAATTATAGATTCCTTAAAAACTTTCATCATTCACCTGGAAAACTAGAATAGAAACATCGATATAAAAAAAATGGTTGCAATATTTGATAAATTGTATCAATTCTTTTCGCTAGTGGTGAAAACCAATTGCTACCACAATTTGCAAAAAATGAAAGGTCGCAGCATTTAACAAGACTGGAAAATAAATTCAGACGATATTTTCCTGAATTTCGAGATGTGCGAGAAAAGAAAATGTTAGCATAGAACTTGCGGTTGTATCTAGCCAGCTCAACTGTAAATTGATAAGATCCTGGCGCCAGTCTAGTAATGCGCTTAAATTCATAAAGTCTAGGTACCATAGCGAAAAGCAATATTTATTCTGTTATGTACACAGAAATGTGCCACAAGGTCAAAAGGATGTTTAGGGAAAAAAGGACGGTTTCTTCTGTATTACCCATAGCGAAGAGCTCATCCGAACAATTACTATGAAAGTATTTATAGAAAATGCAAAGGTGCATAACATTACGACGGTAGGAAATTCACTGAAGCCGAGATACCAGATCAGGACTGATAATATTGCTGATTCTTCTTTGGATTATATCAAGGAGTTTTAGGTAAATAGCAAGGACACCGGACCATATCTGGCAGCAATATTATAATATTCTAAGCATGGACGAATATAGATATGTAGTTATGGTTGAATTTAGTTCCTGTTGATTTTCCAAATTAATTAGTGTAGCTGAAGGACGATTCGGGAACAAGCAATATGTTCGGTAAGAAATCAATCAAAGAATTTTGGCCTTTGACTTACGATTCCTATCCAAAAGTGAAAGAAAATATCAGGGCAAGTGCCTACTACCCCCAAACTTCCCGGACCGGTTATGGAAAGAGTTATTCATACATTGCTTCGATCTGTGTTGATATATCTTTGTGAGTCAGGATTTTCACTTTTGTTGCAAATAAAAACGATATTTCGTTTTTATTTGCAACAAAACTGAAAATGCTGAAAGTTAAATACAACTAGCTTTGTGACCTTTGAAGCACTCCTCATCGTATCTCAGAATTGGCGAGTTCCTTATTGACAGTAATCTTTATCAGAATAAAATCGATTTAACCCCCAACACTGACCTTTTATTGAACTATTGGTTTATTGAATTACAATACCCTGAAAATCTATTGAATTTTTTCTTTATTGAAGTAAGTTTCAGTTTATTTATTTCATAAGTTATGAATTAAAACAAAATGCTATACATGTCTTGAAGTTTAAATATTTTTCTATTGCAATTAAATTTGTAAAATTCCTATATTATAGTATTGGCATAATAGGTGGAATGCACCTTTTGTGTGGGACATTCTTGGAAAGGAGGGGGGTATATGCTGAGATATAGTGAAAAGTGGGGGTCATTAGAGGGGAAAGGTTGAGAAATACTGAAGAGAGAAATGAACGCAATTTCAGGAGGAATTTTGAAGAAGGAGTTGTGCGGGTGGTGTAATGGTTTGCTGGGAAGAAAATGGTACTGACCAGGCTCGACGTTGCTTAACCTCGGTGGTCGTACGGAAACCGGTGTTACATGATGTGACCGTAAGTCAAGAAGAAGAAGAAAAAAAGGAAGAAGTAAAGAAAAATAAGAAAAGAAGATGATGATGATGATGATGAGGAGGAGGAGGAGGAGAAGGAGGAGGAAGAGGGAAAAGAAGGAAAGAAGTAAAGAAAAATAAGAAAAGAAGATGATGATGAGGAGGAGGAGGAGGAGAAGGAGAAGGAGGAGGAAGAGGGAAAAAAAGGGAAGAAGTAAAGAAAAATAAGAAAAGAAGATGATGATGATGAGGAGGAGGAGGAGGAGAAGGAGAAGGAGGAGGAAGAGGGAAAAGAAGGGAAGAAGTAAAGAAAAATAAGAAAAGAAGATGATGATGATGATGAGGAGGAGGAGGAGAAGGAGAAGGAGGAGGAAGAGGGAAAAGAAGGGAAGAAGAAAAAATATGAAAAAGAAGAAAAGGAGAAGCAGCAAAAGAAGAAGAATGATGGTAGGAGAAGAAGAAAAAGAAGAAAAAAAAAGATGAGGAGGCCAAAGCAGTAGAAGAAAACGGAAGAAGTAGAAGCAGAAGAAGGGAAGAGGAAGAAAAAGAAAAGAAGAAGAAGAAGAAGTAAAAGAAGAAGAAAATGAAAAGGAGAAGAAGCAAAAGAAGAAGAAAAAGAATGGAAGAAGAAGAAGAAGAAAAAGAAGAAGAAGAAGAAGAAGAACGAGAAGAAGAAGAAGAAGAAGAAGAAGAAGAAGAAGAAGAAGAAGAAGAAGAAAGCAATAGTTTTCGAATGCTTAAATTTCTAGCATAAAACAAATAATTTTTATGTTGTTTTCTTGAATTTATGCTGTCCTTTGGCGCAATGCTCAGGTTGACCACGAAAACTGAAGTCTGTGGAGGAAATAAAATCATAGACTTCCTCCTCCAAGTTTCAATTTTTGGACTTCATTTTGATACATTATTATTTTTTTTTAAGAGACTTTGTTATTCGTTGATATGAATTCATAGGATTAACTCGAAACCGCCGCTTGTTGCGTGAGAGAAGAAGCGTTCTTAAAATAGACTTCATTTCCTTCTGCCATTTCTCCACCTCGTCGTGCAGGCAACCATATTACCAGACGATTGTTCCCGCTTGCTTTCGCGGTCTTCTACGCCTCTGCCAGTCGCCAGATGTGTGCATGGCACCCCCCTTCGTACAGCTACAGAGGCGTGTGCACGTGTCGGCGCTTCTTAGCTGTGCATCTAGGCCACATCGTTGTATCGATATCCATCTGAAGCCAAGCCGATCGATTTGTCTTGAGAAATGCTGATGTAGCTAATATCAGTTTTTCTTAGATCTCTGATTCAAATCCGTTGTTTTCTTCTTTTTTTTCCCCTTCTCCATCTTTGTAATACATTCCGAAAGTTTGTGTTTAAGTTTCTGCTTTATCGTCATTATCTCCGACATCCTCATCGATTAATACGAATTTGAAACCGCAGCGGCAGGGAATACGGTTCAAGCCTCCCAATAAATAAATGAACTCACAAAAAATAAATAAACCTAGACCGTATTTAGCTGCGCATAATACGAGAAATTTTAAATGAAGTGCCACTTGGATATGGCACAAGGCCGAAAGTAAGGGGCACCCAGTGAGGAACGAACTCATTACTCAGTCGTAATTGTTCTAGCGAGACAAACTTGTTAACCATTACACGACCTCGAGGTGCCTTGATTTTCTAAGCGTAGCTTAGATGTGGCACAAGGCCGAAAGTATGGGGCACCGAAGGTGGAGCGTATTATATACAAGTACACTTTTCCAAAAATCTTTACTTAAAAAAAAAACAGAAACACTGCAACCGCCCCGTTGGTTGGCGTTACAGAATACGCCGACTGCACCTCTGCATAGGGATAAACCCACACCCCACCCTAAATGAGGCGTTCTGCGTAAGACGAGAAACTACATCCGGCAGCAAGGCCTTTGATCAGGAGGTTTTGAGGAGCGTAGAGCCGCCTCTTGATTGCTGGTGTTCCCAGGTCCCACCCTGACCCGGGCTGATGGCACCTGTTGGGCTCCCAGCTGTGGGTAAGTTGTTAGCCCCAGACTAGGGTCAAAACGATATGTAAGTGTAAAAATAGTTTTAATACCAGCAATACGTTATAGCCAGCAATGAATTTTGAAAAAATTAAAATATTACCAGCAATACATTTTTGAAGAAAAAAAATATTGTCAGCAATACATTTTTGAAAAAATATTAACAATATATTTTTGAAAATATGGCCAGCAATAAAAAATCTTGTCGGCATTAAATAATCCATTGAGGTTGATATACCGTAAAACAAACCAAACTAGAAATTGGAAATGAACTCATTTAGCACAATAAATAATAAAACATAAAGTAGACAGATATGGATAACAATTGTTTATAAAAGTTATTTCATATGTCGGCAAAATTTGTTCTTTGGGAATTGTGCACAGGCAGAGGCAAAACTGTATTGCGCTCTGTCGAAGACAGAGACCCAACTGAGAAATGAAATGCAGTTTATCAGCCCAAGGGTAGATATTTGATCTCAGCCAAAGGCCTGAGAAGCGATATACATCTCACACCCCCACTGAATTTAGGACGCGACACAGGGTCATTTTTTTTTAATGTGTGGAATCCAAACGCTTACGATCGGGTCATGGTCAAAATTTAGCCATCCCCCAAGTTACGCGGGTTCGGGCACAAGGCTTCTCTTAGATGGTCATTACGTCTTGAGACCAAAATGCTGAGAATACAAGCACCATTTTTCGGGCGCATAGTATCGATCGAAGGAAACAGAGAAAAGCAATCGCTAAAAGTCCAATTACCATAAATAACATCGTCTACTGAATTATTTTAAAATTATTATTAAGAGAAATGTTCGTAAGACGGGGATTTTCGCGTGTAAAGAGGAGGAAAGACACTAATTGGCTTCAGTAAGAAAAATGAAGAAAAAATAAAAGAGTTTTTAACGTTTGCTGCCAATATCTCATAAATAATAGATTATTTCTTTTTAATCACGTGATAAAAAGGGAAAAGACAGTGAGAAAATGAATGAATGAAAGAAAGAAAGAAAGAAAGAAAGAAAAAATGAAAAGAAGGTACGAGAAAAGAAAAAGTTTTAGGCTGTTTCAATGAAATTGAAGAATTTGTCAATTACAAATATTTCCATTTGTACCCACCTCTTAAAATAGCGACCAGAATTCATATTCATGATTTTTATTGCAATATTTTGTTAAAGTTGGTACGCCCAAATATTTACCGATGCGATAGAAAAACTTCTACGGATTTTCTTGTTGTAGAACTCGTCATGAGCTTCATCATTAACTTAAGAGTTAAGAATTAAGATTCATCAGAAATTTGAAATAGGAAAATCGTAAATTTTTCACGGGTTAAAACCAGTTATTATTATTATTATTATTATTATTATTATTATTATTATTATTGAGTATATGGATAAAAATCACCTTCAAGAAGAGAAAGAGAAATTAAATTTTGTAAAAAGCGCTCAATTATTATTATTATTAGGAGCATCCCACGTTCGTCAGTATGTGTAATCGAAAAGGACAAAACGCGTCAAACGAAAACTTTTCCCACTTTGTCGTAGATTTTTTTCCCCAATATTGTCCTTGGTATATAAGAATTTATATATCGCTATCTTACACACACACACACACACACACACATACACACACACACACATATATATATACATATATATATATATATATATATATATATATATATATATATATATATATATATATATATATAACGATTTCAAGAGCCTCCTTGTAATTTGATAGTTTTTGAAGATCTTCAAAGTTACGTTACAATCTGCAGGGAAAACCATGTCAATAAGAAATCACATTCTCTTCTTGTGATCTTTAATCAGGATCTTTGGACGATTAGCTTTGATTGTTTTGTCTGTGTTTATTGTAAAATCTCATAAAATTATTACACTTCCTATCTCTGTAACCGGGTCTGGTTGATATTCATCCCAATTTCTTGCAGTTTCCTTCCCGTAAAAAATTTCAGATTTTACAGTTCCAATATTGGTCCAATCTATCATTCAGTTGGTGCCAATACCGTGCAACCAGATACAAGGTGGTCATTTTTTTCTGGATATTTATCACAGAACCTTCATTTTGGGTAAACAATTTATAAGTAGATGTGTTTCGGAATTTCTAGTTAACAATCATTGCAACTGTGCAGCAAAAATAAAATCTTGTTTCAGGCTTTTAACACGGCACTACATAAATACTGATGTATATTATTATTATTATTAATATTATTAGTAGTAGTAGTAGTAGTAGTAGTAGTATTTCCTTAGATTTCTGTTGTATACTTATTTCCTTCAGGGCCCCAGGCAGAGAGCAAAGGTCAGAATTGATATCATGCCATTTTGCAATGCAGTTTCTTTCCCGTAACAGTTGCATATTTTCCAGAGCATTATTATTATTATTATTATTATTATTTATTATTATTAACCCATCATTATTATTAAACTATTATTATTAAAGTTTTCATTATTATTATTATTATTATTACTATTATTTTCTTTGATTTCTGGCGTTTACACATTTCTTTCCGGGTCCCGCCCAGGGACCTAAGGTTAGAAATGGCATCATGACACTTTCCATTGACAAAAAACAAAAAAAAAATTACATAGATAAAGTCCTTCGTAAAGTGTGGGAACAATTTTTTGTATCTCCTTGAGGCATGGACTTCCAGGAATCCCTTCAATTAGTCTACCGCAATCTTTTCCAACAAGTCCTAGGGCTCCAACTACAACAGGAATTGTTGATATTCCCATATGCCACATTTTCGAGATTTCTATTTCAAGGTCCTTGTATTTTGACAACTTTTTGAATATCTTCAAAGATACATTGCAGTCAGCAGGGACTGCCATATCAATAAGGAGGCACTTGCTTTGTTTGTGGTCTTCTTATTATTATTATTATTATTCCGATCTTACAATAATAATTATTATTATAATTAACAATAATAATAATAATGAGAAGAATAAGAACGAGGAGGAGGAGGAGGAGGTGATGTGGAGGGAGATGACGGAGGTACGTTGGTGTAATGGATTGCGGCTCAGACTCGAAAATCGGAGAGCCGAGTTCGAATTCCATTCGTGTTCATTACACTGACATAAGGGAACTTACTTAAGGTATGAATCCATCTCTTCTCTGCTCCCCACCCCCGGGTGAAATAGCAGGATACACTTGGGTAGCATCCGGTCGGAGAAGGAAAACCCTGAATTCAAACCAGCTTGGAAAATTTTGAGGGAGGAACTCGAAAGCAGTTAATAATTACGTACTATCTGGTATCTCCTGCTACCTGCTTTTCTCTCCCCAGAAATCACCCACTTGTGTGCCCTGGGATTGAGGCTTAGCACGAACCATTGCAACGACCAAGCCAGCTTTTTAATCTGTGTGCTTAAATCCAATATGGCCCTTTGGTTCGATACAGAGAACTCAAGAATCTACCCTGAAAAGATTTATCATTTTTAGAAGCAGATTTGTATTAAAATCATCATTCTCATCCTCATCATTGTTGTTGATTTCGGTTTTATAACCAGCCACGTTCGACAAAGCAGCAACAGCAGCGGTTGTCATGGAAACGGAGTCGGTTGTTTTGAGAAACAAATTTATATCGGAATTGGTCCCGTCTCGATTCCATTACATAATTCCGTCTGTTGAGATTGGAAGCAATGGCGGAAGAAATCCATTTTCGTTTTCGAAACGAATGTCTCGTCTCATCACCATTTGCAAATAACAATTTGACATCACGTGTTCCAAACAGGTTGCTTTGGCATAAGGCTTCAGACAATTTCTCTGTTTCTCTATTGGCATGATTCGAACTCATCTTTCTCTATCGCTCACCCTCTTTCTTACCTACTCCTA